TCTCTCTCTCTCTCTCTCTCTCTTTTAATCAATATTCACATTTCTTCGCCTTTCAAATTAATGATTTCCCTTGGTAGCACGACTGCTAGAACCAAACAGGTTCACTCAAAGACCACTCAGAGACCCCATGCCCCTTGTAGATACGATTATAGTCTAGCTCTTCATTTCTGAAATGCCACCATTAGTAGGAAAAAGAATGGTTTTAAAAAGACAAAATCATACCCCTGGAGTCCTGGGCCAATGTTTGCTTAGTAATTGCAGGATTAAACTTATGAGTGGTAGAGCAAAGTGTTCCAGTGAACTAATTAATGGAGATACATAATATACATGTATACGTTTACCCTAGTGAGAGCAGTGGGTCCAAGTAATTTTTTTCGAAAACAGGCACCACATTGTAGGAGCTGGAATGTCTTTCGTTACTTATCGATGTCTCAGTTGAGAAATTTGACGTAAAAATTTTGAGTTTCACAAAAGGTCAAGCTTTATCGAATGCAATTCTTGGAATATTATCTTGATAACGACTCCGAAAAATCTTACGCTTTTGAAAGAGCAGATAGAACATAATTTGGTTTCCGACCTCATGGTCTTAGTAACTCAAAACGGCCAAAAATATCAGATAGAACTTCGTAATTCTGATGTAGCGTTATGCAAACAACAGTGCCATTAGAACACAAGTCATCAGCGAGCAGTAATCATTACTGACTCAATGAGTACACTACAGAATGTACAGAAAGGGATGCTGTATGTGGACTGGAAGGCTACGATCAGAGAGAGCAGCTTGGAAGGAGTGGGCTGGATCTTCTGCCCGGGTCACGCGGGGGTAACCGGCAACGAGAGAGCAGACAAGCTGGCTGGAGAAGCAAAAGTGGGAGGGAATTTGACACTGGACCCACCAACCGTCCTAACCGCTGTAAGGGAAAATTTGAGGAAGAATAGGGCGGATAGCGGTTCCCACACTCTAGGGAGATTGAAGGAGAAGGGGATCCAAAGAGGAGAGGGGAAACACAGCCATCTGTGCGGACCAGTCCGACGGATTTCCAACCAGATCATGATTGAGACTATAAGTAGACAGACTCCGGGATGGATCCTGAAGAGGGGGGGGGGAGAGCAGAGATGGACATGTTCCGACTGCAGTGACCCCAACACAGTGGACAAGTAAGACAAGTAAGTAATAAACAACAGTGCTGCAGAGAGCTGGCTCTGTTTGTGACGGGTGTCATTGTCGTTTATGACTCTTCAGTGTTTATTTGGGCCTCAGACTACGCTATATAGGCCTACTACACCGAAAGATATAGCAGACCTATAAAAGATATACCCTCCCTTTGTGCCAGATAGGAAACATGTAAGCCGTACTCTAGTGGGGTAGTACTAAATACTCTTTAATACTTTTGACGTCAAGAATTTCAGGAGTGTGTAACTCAAAATCTAAACACCCAATCACGTGTACTCTGACATTTTTGCGCATCTCATGCAAGCTCATTGTCGCTCAAGAACTGTGCTCAGTACGATTTACTGGCCTGTCTTTTTCCAACTATGTCATCCACGTGGATTTAAGGTACACCACGGCAGCCTAAAAAGTCGATTTTGGTATCCAAAACCGATTTTTCGATTTTGGACTATTTTAGTAGAGCAACATCTGCTTTATCGATTGGAAATATTTTCAAGTGTCCAAAACATCTATAAAGTGCTCACATATGCCATGTATTTTAACATTGTGTGGTAATAGAATGGTATGAATTCGTGTTTTTTAAAGTTTTCTAAAAACTATGATTTTCTTAGGGGGGTGGGTCACCTTGGCAGAGATATTTCTAAAAGTACTCGTAGCAGCGGAATCCAACTTTGCATGACTGTTTCTAGATAATATGTTTGCAACGTACTAAAAGATGATTGTGATATTGTAATAAGTCTTCCGTTAGTGTTAAAAAGATTGGCAGTATAACTCTGATTTGTGATCATGTTTTTGTCCAAGTATCGTATATGACACTAAAAGGGCAGTTACAAGAAAAGTATGAGACTTAGGAAAGTAAATCTTTAGTACGTTGCAGGCTGTATATACACAAACTCTGTGTGACAATATCAAGGCTGTATCAATTCAATCTTTTTCAGAATCCCTGCCAACAATTTGCGCGAATTTTGGTCTGTCGAACCCTTTGCATCTAAAAAATTAAAAAAATTGACAGTGAAATCATATACGGATAGTGTGTTT